CCATATCTGTATCACATGGGTTATGATCAACTTCATGGGTAAAATAGTGTGTGTGTGTGTGTGTGTGTGTATTCACCTAGTTGTGTTTGCGGGGGTTGAGCTTTGCTCTTTCGGCCCGCCTCTCAACTGTCAATCAACTGTTTACTAACTACTTTTTTTCCCACACCACACACAGACCCCCCCTCCCTCCCCAGGAAGCAGCCACAGCTGACTAACTCTCAGGTACCTATTTACTGTTAGGTAACAGGGGTATTCAGGGTGAAAGAAGCTTTACCCATTTGTTTCTGCCTGGTGCGGGAATCGAACCCGCGCAACAGAATTCCGCTATCCACCAGGCTATCCAGGCTCCTGTGTGTGTGTGTGTGTGTGTGTGTGTGTGTGTGTGTGTGTGTGTGTGTGTGTGTGTGTGTGTGTGTGTGTGTGTGTGTGTGTGTGTGTGTGTGTGTGTGTGTGATCAGATCTCAATAACTTAGACAAACCTACTTGTATGAAATCAAAATTTTAACAAAAAGTTACAATTTATTGTAACTATTACAATTTATTGTAATAGTATTGTTATCATGTAACAACTCCTATCAATTCTTTTAAAACGTAAGGGGAAGACTTAATGACTAATTTAATAGACACGAGAGACTTAAATTACTTCACTCACGAACCTCAGTTACGAAAGGCTTAAGAAAGCCAGCGATATCGTTATGCAGAGTAGGACGAACCATTAGAATGGCGTTGTTTTCGCTGTAGACAGGCACTGAGAAGTCACACACGGTCTCCCGTAGATCTGTCACTCCGAATGGGCCGATTGCCAACTCCACTTCCTGATGAGAGAATAATGTTTACATCTCAAAATATCTCGAACGTAATTTATGATCTAGTAATCATAAACAGCTTCCAGAGAACTTTCCTTGAGATTCACTGTTTCGGTTCAAGTCTTGGCTATTAAATATACGTGACGAGTGTTGCAGTATTACACTTTTCAAAGGTCTAAATTAAAGCTAATCACCCACAGACACTACCTACTAGAATATTTCAGGATTTACAAAAGTTCAAACTTAGTCATATAATTCTACTTATCTGCACTTACTCTCTTGCCTATAAGCGACGAACCAACCCCTGCCTCTATACCTGCCTTCCTCTATAGCATACCCAGTTGCTATAAAGCAACTGGGTATGCCGGTTTGAGACTCCCTTTCTGTTGTGGAGTGCATCTGGACTTACCTGCCTCTGCAGCATACCCAGCATGCCGGTCCAGGACCCGTTCGGTTGAGGTCCTCCCCACACACGGTCTGAAGGCCGGATCAGCTCGTAGCTGATGGAACAATGAAATGCAAGAATTGATCGTCAGATGAGACAATAAAAATTTTCCTTTCTTTTCTTCAAACTCTTTTATCCGTATCATTTTACGTGAATTATATTCACAATAAAATTCTTCCCATTTGATAATTATTTATTTGTTATTTTATCAGTATAGCGTTTTTTTATATAATTATTTTATTCTTCTTCTTCTTCATCTTCATATATTATTATTTTTATTATTATTATATCTGTGATCAACAGAGAAAATTTATGGTAAACGTGAAAATGGGTATTTACTTAAAAATCTTCTGTGTTGCAACAGAAGAACCTTCACTTACCTGAAGTTCATCTTGGCAGCAAAGATCTCAAGTAAGTCAGCCATGGGGCCTAAGATCATTACTCTTCCATCGTCTTCAGTGACAATCTTGGTCCAGGGTACCCACTGTTGGAAACAGACAGACAGACAGACAGACAGACAGACAGACAGACAGACAGACAGACAGACAGACAGACAGACAGACAGACAGACAGACAGACAGACAGACAGACAGACAGACAGACAGACAAACAGACAGACAGACAGACAGACAGACAGACAGACAGACAGACAGACAGACAGACAGACAGACAGACAGACAGACAGACAGACAGACAGACAGACACTGATGTCATTTGACATTTAAAAATAAATACTAAAGTTTTAACAACAAATGAAGAAACTAATCAAATGCCATGACTAATTTTAAAGCAACAGCCTTTATTTCTTAGATATAATTAATATAAGACTGTTTTTTTCATACTGATACATAATTTAGGAAACCTAAGTCAATGAAACAGTTTCTCAGCAATTTACTGCGTATACCAGTGATATTAAGAAAGATTTATTTGCCAGTAATGGTTTCCCAATTGGCTGGCTGGGGAGGTTATTGAAGCAGCAGGTGGAGAAGGAGGAGGAGATTGAAATAGAAAAGGAAATAGAAAGGGGGCCAAAGGAAGTTAAATAACATGCAATTATCAAAAGAAGGCATCAAGGAAAGTGAAGGAGGAAACTGACAAAGAAGTAAAGGATGAAAAAGGAAGAGAAGGTGAATGATAAAAGGGAACATGAGATTGTGAGTTAGTTTAATAGTTTAAGATGAAGGTAATGAGGAGGAGGAACGTGAGGAGGTGTAGTGCTGGGATGACACTAAGAGCACATACAAATAAAGAAACAGATTTATTATGAAATAGAAGTGTATTTACTATTTGTATTTGGAGCCTCAAGCTGTACAAACATCAAGTTGTTAGCTCCTGGACCCCCGTCTTTCTAACCGTCGGCGGTTGTCTAATATAATGACTACCGATCAATTTTCCTCTCATATCTACTACATATATTTCTCTCTCACTCACACACACACACACACACACACACACACACACACACACACACACACACACACACACACACACACACACACACACACACACACAAACACATTTTCCGTCGTATAGTGTCTCAGTTTACTGTCTCAGTGACTCTGCTTCTATTAGAGAGTTATGTAAATAAAACCATTTCTATTACAACATTACCTCCTCAGCTGCTATCTTCAGGAAGGTCTTTCCAGGTGACATTATGGCTCTTTGTTCCATATTATTCATTCCTTTTGAGTATTCTTGTCCTTCTCTCTTATCTATCGTTATTTTCTTTCCTTGTTACCTGCTTCCAACTCTTCTGTGCTTTGCTTCTCTGGCTGCCCAGTAACTGCCAATTCTTGTCATAATTTTAGTTAACTACTGAGCAAGGAATATGTGAAGATTATAGCAAATTTATGTATAATCAGGATAAGTTGAAAGCAATATATACTATTTGTTAAACTAATGCTTTGCAGGACGTAAGGGCAAGAACATTAGCACCCAGGAAACCTTATGTTGAAATTCTTGCTTTATGCAGTGAGACAAAGGTTTCTTAAATATGTTACCCTATTCGTTATCAATGTATATTTGTCTAAATTTATGGATCATAGGATTTAAATAACAGGTGACTAAATAGATAAATAGTCTAAGTAGCATTTTTTTTCCTGTAAAACATGCATCTGTTTTAATATATTTATTGTTTTTATACCTACGATCTCTAAAATTGTCATTGGCACGCTGTCGAGTAGTGTTTACCCTATTTGATGCGAAACATGAAAGTTCCGGAGTTACTACCACCATAATACGACGACTTAGCATATTTTTTTAAAACATGATTGTCTCACTGCACTCAGAGAGTAGTCTCTCTCTCTCTCTCTCTCTGTCTTTCTGCACTCAGCGGCAATTGGGAACCTGGACGTCAAATGATTATCAGTTCGCGTTCTGGTGGAAATATAATGCTGAATGAAAACTAATTCTTCAATTAGTAAGAGACAGAACACGAGAAGAATAAGGCAGACTAGGAAATGACAATACAAATGAAGATTGATGAAAAAATAAAAGTGTATATATTATTTGTGCTTGCAGAATCGAGCTGTTAGTTGTTGACATACACAATCATATCATTTGCCTTTTCTAGGTATTATTAGTAATATTTTAGAAATATTTATCATATTTCAAAATTATTTGAAGGTTTATGTAATTAGTAAATTTTTATGCATTTTTTATTTATTATGCTCAGTAATGAGGTTAATTCATCAACTGAACTTAGCATATTGTAAAGACATTGTGATTTTTTCCTTTCCTTGGTGGTACTCAGAACAGATTCTAAACGTCAGATACCATTTTTGACACCATTAACTAAGTTTTAGTAGCGGCTTAGTATTAGGAAGTTCATCGTTTGTGTTGACGAGAATGAAGTGCAATAGCTCGCTAATCATTGCAAATAATAGCTCGCTGTTTGAAGACACTGCTGAAGAGGGTCCCGGTTCGGAACCGAAATATACGGTCTCCGTTTCTTTGTCTTTTCAAAATAATGGAGTATTATTTTCATAGACTAGTGCGCTATTGTACGTTTTCCTAATATATGTATATATTATCATAAGTTAGTATATTAACTTAACAAAGATACTTACAAAACATTTGGAGAATGAAATATAAAGCAAGAGCCACTCGTTTCGCCCACGAGAAGAATTACAATATAGTTGGACAACTTGAGTCCTTTCCAGACCTCAGCCAGATCCCAACTGAGGGATATATTGCCGTGAGCCCTTCTTCTTTTCCTTCTCTGTCTCCTCCTCCTCCTCCTACTCCTCCTCTGTCTTTAATTGACACAACATGGAAAAGTTCCTGATAAAAATGTCGATTAACACTTTGATTATAATCATTATATGTATATTCATTACAGAGGCGTTCCATCAACCCGGTTCATTATTTTTCTCGGTCCATCTATGAATATAAAAAGATTAATTAAGAGAGTGAGTGAATTCACTTCATCAGGTGTTCGGTAATCAGTGTATATTAATGAGGGCGATCTTGTAGTCTTCCTTCTCCCTGTCTCTCTCTCTCCCTCACACACACACACACACACACACACACACACACACACACACAGCCGAGCGGACAGCCTTCTGCGGTCATATTCCTAAGGACCTGGGTTAGATTACCGGACGAGACGGAAACATATGGGCAGTTTCTTTCACCTGATGCCTCCTTTTCACCTAGCAGTAAATAGGTACCGGGGAGATAAACGGCTTCTATGGGCTGTTTCCTGTGGATGTGTGTGTGTGTGTTAGAGAGAAGTATATGTAGTAGACATAAAGGAAAAACAATTCAGTTAGAAAGGCTGGATTCAAGACTTAATAGTTCGATTACACAGCCTCAAATAGCAAAATCACACAAATTCAATCAAATCGACATCACTTGACTCAAGTGATGTCGACTGACGAAAGTGTGTTGATTGTTGACGAAAGCGTATTTACCGTCCAGATCCAGTCCTCAGGATAACATTGCAAAATACTTGTTTAAAAAACACACAAAATAAACACCACACCACGACAAGCAATCCGTTTTTCCGATGCCTTAATTGCGAGTAGCAGCTTTGCCCAGATGGAAAGTTATGCAAATGATAATTAAGTGGTTATAATGGGTCCATCGTTCATATTATTATCTTTGGAATGAACGTCTATATCACCGTCAGCAACATGGCATGCAATAATCGTCGAAATTATGCATTATCCTCGGTGAATACTTACTAATGGCACACTGCTATTGAAAGTAATGCAAGGTTTTCTTCCTCTCAGATTGTTAATTATTATCAGAATATTATTCAGGAAAAGTGTATAACGAAACTGGCATCATCTTGTTGTGAAAAGCATAACGAACTTGAAAAATCAAGTTACAGTGCAGAAATATATTTGTTATATATTCGCTTGTGTGAGTATAGGTCAATGTGTATAATGTTTTCACTTTTGCCATTATCTTGCTATGATATTATTATCCATCTTTATTTCTTATATTTTTGTATAAATATGTATTTAGCTACATACAGGTACAAGTGTGTGGGTGTATAAATGCATATTATCACCTTTGTGATAACATACATTTATACACAGCTCGAAAGAGAATTATATTTACTTATTGATACTAAACATTAATACTATTCAAAATTTAAGTAATAGATGTAAAATATCAGTTGTAAGACTTTAATAAGAGTCGCATGTGCTTTGCAAAATAAGCTTAGTTTAGTGATATTGACATCTGCTAAATCTGTATTGTTAGGTTAAAATGTTGCTCGTTGTTACAAACTAGAAATATAAATTAAAATTTTAGCGGATGTCATAGAAACATACTACAGCTCAAATTTATTATTATTTTATCTGTTTTGTCTGTTTTGTTTCCTAAAGCTGTGAAGATATTCCACATTATAAATTGTTAAACAGTTACAAATTCTGTTGCACTATATTATAATATTCTTTATCTATCTTAGATAATGTTAGCAAACATTAAGAAGAAGAACACATTACAATAGTGTTGAAACCCTCTATTTCTTTTAATAAATCGTTCTAAAATGTGATTTTTAGTAAGATTATAATTTAGTATATCTGTTTCTTACAATCAGCCTTCATATCTCACAGCTCTCTTCTCAATCTTATCTCTCTCACTCTTGCATCTTTTCTGTTTGCTCCTCCGAAGCTTCTTGTTTCTGTTGGACCCATTTTTATATGTTCTGGTAAATATACAAACCTAGCAATGTGTAATTAGGAAACATTAAATAAGTAGCAATGAGAATTAACAGTTATTTATGCATTTTAACATTAAAACAGAAAATGGCTTTGAAAGAACCGTGATTACAAATGAGTTTGGAGCTTGTTAGAAGTTCTGTTTGAAATGTTCAGTTGTATACCCACTCAGGTACATATTTGTGTGTGTGTGTGTGTGTGTGTGTGTGTGTGTGTGTGTGTGTGTGTGTGTGTGTGTGTGTGTGTGTGTGTGTGTGTGTGTGTGTGTGTGTGTGTGTGTGTGTGTGTGTGTGTGTGTGTGTGTGTGTGTGTGTGTGTGTGTGTGTGTGTGTGTGTGTGTGTGTGTGTGTGGTTTGAGTGCTAACCTTCAAATGCTGGGGATGATTTTGATAACGTTTCTTAACCTATAAATCAACTTGAATTGTGTGTTTGCTGTCTCCTGGTCATGCTTCTGACTTCTAAGAAGCTGACAGTGTTCATCATTTCTGCAACGTAAGTCATATATGTTTGTGGTACGTAATGCATATTTAATTTGTATCATAATTACAGCTGAAGTCGTGTGAAATAAGAGATTCACCAGATCAGACAATAAGTTAGAGGTTTCCTTAAGCAGTATCCGAGCAAGATGGTAAGTAGGTTGGGTGGTTCTTGAAATGCATTAACGTTGCTCTAATACTGTAATTTTTCCCATCTGATGCGTGAGATGCTCGCTCAGGAAGATGAGGCCGGCCGCGGACATCCCTGCGGATGATTTGTGATGGCGGATGATTATGAGATGGCAACATATAAAATATACTCAAAACAAAAATATCACAATAAATTTATCTACCTCGCAGTTTAAAGATACAGTTCAAATTTCCAAAAACATTATCATGTGAAAAATGCTAAAGACTGGATTGCCAGTAATGATTCACATCTCATAATATATATATATATATATATATATATATATATATATATATATATATATATATATATATATATATATATATATATATTATGAGATGTGAATCATAGTAGGCTTGCATAGTAGGCTGAGAAGTGCGTTCTGGCTACTAGGTACGACATATATATATATATATATATATATATATATATATATATATATATATATATATATATACATATATATATATACATATATATATGTATATATATATATATATATATATATATAGGGGGGTACCACCACTGGTGTAATTATAGGGACCCACAGCCTCAGAGAAGGGAACACAGAGCACTCCGGGAAAAACTTGACATTTAACTCTGAATGCGAAAGAGTGTTCACTTCTCCTACCACCCCCTTTTTTTTTTATTATGATGTACACTTTATTATGCAAGGTTATACAGTTACATATCTGATTTCATACAAAAAATGAACATTAAGAGGACACAAGAAAAAGTTCGCTTCCTAGAGGCTGTAGATTTCCTCGAACTCCTCCGACGCCGGGCAGGAACCGAGGATGCAGCGGGCATTTCCCCTCTGGATCGCGACACTGAGGCGCTGAAAGAGAAAACTTGCTGCTCTAGGGTCTCTTGTGGTGTCAATGAGCTTGGAACCAAGATCCTTAAGAAACCTTCTTGCACTCTCACCCCATGGGCCTAGGGTCTCAGACCCTATTGGAACGAAATTGTACCTTTGATCTAATTGCCTGTACTTGACTGACTTTTGTTTTTCTCTGTGTGTCGCTGCGGCTCCTGCCGTGCCGGCAGAGAGGGTGATGTATGTCGTTGCCAGGGTGGATACGCAAGTATAGTCCCATGCTAACTGCCTGCCACCCTTCCACGGACGCAGTGTGATTCCGTCTGGTCGGCCGGCAAAGCTAACAGAGTCACGGTTCAGTAGGTTGCGGGGCTCTCTCTCCGCTGGACACTGAGCAGAGGCAAGGCTTCTTTTAATGATGTCGTTGACTTCGTCGTGTCTAGTGTGCCAACCACCCGATTTTCCACAGTGCAGGCCATGCAATCCATATTCGTCAGCATCTGCCTCGCCGCAAATACACCTGTGAACAGTGTGGATAGGGGCAGCAAGGCGCAGAGCGACTGCAATACGGAGCTCCTGCGGATCAAGACGTGTGCCTGTCGCAGACATAGGGACTGCCAGAAGGAAGTCCCCTGCATGGGGAGCCTGCACAGCTGTGAGGCGTGCACGATCACTGGGGGTTGTTGCTGCCTCCAGCAAAGCTGTGGCTTCTTTGTCTACAATGGGGCTGTCCCAACTGGATTGTTTCTTGGCTTTCGGCATGGCTGGTCTGAGTGCTGGGTCTGTCATGGCACCCCATTTCGTGTCACATTCCGTGTAGTGGGGGTCCTGTATCCCCGCTACATCACTCAGGGTGTCAGGTAGAATTTCCTTAACCAGGTCATCTGATGCTGAGGAGGAAGACAGGAAGGCTGGGACTGCAATTTGGGTGGCGGTGCGGACACCCAAGCCACCGAGCCTGACAGGAAGAGTGGCTTGTTTCCACTGGCATTCGTTGAGAGAGAGGTTAACAACTTTTTCCAGCATGGTCTTCAGTAGGAGGTCATACTCGTCAAGCTTTGGGTTGTTGTAAGATGGGGCGCACCTCAGAAAGTAGGTTAGCCTCGGAAGGGATAGGCATTTGGTGAGGAGATAAAAAGCATCGTGGGCATCGATGTCACCTATTCTGTCTTCCATCCTCCTAAGGTCTGCGATTTTCTTGTCGAGGATCTCATCAATGGCGTTAGACCCGAGGGGAGCTCCAAGGAGGGTGCTGTTCTCGGCCCTAATGACATGGGCTCCAGGCAAGGCAGACCTTATTCTAGCTACGATGTCTGGGTTGGAGGAGACTACTTCACACTTGGAAGGGTTCAGGACGAGACCCAGGCTTACTTCTTGCTCCCTTATTTTCCTGATATCTGACAAGAGGTGGTCTACGGTGCCAGCTATAGTGCCATCATCCAAAAACCAGATGTTGAACTCGCTGGACAAGCTTTCGGTGATTTCTTTTAAGACTAAGCAGAAAAGAAGGGGAGCAAGAGGATCACCTTGCTGAACACCTTCACATGATCTGATTTCATGTTCACCAAAGAGCAGTTTTGACTCGCCACTGTAGCACGATAGTATGAACGGGTAGAGGGGCCGGAAATGGCGATGTACGGCACAAAGTACTGCATCTCTTCTTACCATGTTGAAGGCATTCTTAAAGTCCAGTTTGAGCAGGGCCTTTTCATCAGAAATGTTTGTGATGTATGCTCGTGCTGCATGGGCAGCCGCTTCACAGCCTTGGGGGATTCCAAATCCTAGCTGGATTGGTTTCAGCAATTCAGCCGCTTGCTGGCTGACAACCCTCGTAGCAGCCTTGGCAATCAGGCGTCGGAGAGTGTTGCCAACAGCGATTGGCCTGATTCCTTCGTCCTTCTTTTTGAGAGCACAGAGGGAGGCACCAAAAAAGAGAGGCCTGATGACCTCAGGTATCTCACCAGCCAGACACATGTTGACGAACCTTGTGAGTTCCATAAGAAGATCTTGTGCAGCATCACCAACCGCAGGATTTAACATTTGCTTGATATGTTGAGGTTTTAACCCTGTAAAGCCGCCTGCTGACCCAGGTGGAAAAGAAAGGGCTGCTTTGTAGACCTCAGATTCACCAACTGTTAATGGGTCTGAAATGGTGTCGGCTGATGGCGGAACGATGTTGTCGCCTTGAGGGGCTCTGGGTGGGTGCTTGCTTTGCAGGGCCCGTGCTGTGGCTGAGTTTCGAGGAGCAATTTTCTCGTCACTGGTGAGGACTCTAATAGCACTTGCGGTATTTCCCTCTTCAATTTTCTTGGTGATTTGTGCTCTGATTTTGTACGTTTCCGGTATGTTGTTGTTACCATTTCTGCGGTGGGTGTGTTTTGCTATATATATATATATATATATATATATATATATATATATATATATATATATATATATATATATATATATATATGTAGAACCAACTTAACAAACAAATACTTCAAACATAATACATAATTTGTAAGCCGAAAATATTATATGGAATTCTGGAAGCATTATACCAGAAACCATTAAATAAAACTTGGAGTGAAAAATAAATATTACAGGACACCTAAAACGATATATGTAAATAAAAGCATCTAAAGGACCATATAATCACAATCGAGAAAAGGAAAATACTAATATATATAAATTCCTCGCCTGCAGCCAGGAGGATGAAGGGACCAGAAAAGGCCTGGATGCTGAGGGGTGAGATCCCTCCTACACCATCGGCGCTGGGGGGCCGGAGACACACCGTAGTGTTAGTGTACTGCTCCGCCAACCACTTGTCGAACAGCCCCGCCTCCTTCAGGTGTTGGATTCTACCTCGGGAGAAGGTAAATGTAGTATTAGTGCTCCATTTAAGGTAAATAGAGGTAAATGTTTAACAGTACTAACAGAGATCGCAGTATTATTATTTGATAATTGTCCAAGATGGACCGAAGCGTCGCTAATACCTTCATTTTCATATTGGTATGTTGGGTGTCTAACTTTCAGCCACGTTATTGTGTTTTTTTGTATTTCTATTTCTATTGCAATTGTGTTTTATTGTATTTTTATTTCTACTGTTATTATTATTATTATTATTATTATTAACATTATTATTGCATTATTATTAAAGTTAATTTTATTTTATTATTATTATTGAAATAGCAATTTCAATTGTATACCTGCAAGACGTGTGATGTCGTACTCTTGATTTTCAAAAAATTTAAAGAAGTTCTTTCATGAAATTTAAAGAATAACATTTGGAGTCATTAACCAATCTTTTAAAATGTGTTTGAATTATGGGATTTACAGTATGTATGATTGTCAGCCTCTTACCAAACCAAGTACAGTGAGTTTGCATATTTCGGATGATCCAAATGTCTCAACATACAAAACATCAAAAAATGGTATTATTATTATTATTAATATTCTCATTATTATTTGTTCTTCGTGATACCATTTTAATATAATTATACAGAGAGTATTTGTTATCCAATTTAATTAATATATTCCTGCTCATGAATTGTGATCTATAAGTTTTTACAGCTGCAAAATCACTATTGCAGTGAATTGTATAAATCACTCAGTAATAGAGTTTATAAATTTAAATTTAAAGTCTCTACTGACTCGAACAATCTACATGTCACATACTGAAACTCGACAGCAGTCAATACAAATATTTTCCACCGACTAACTTTTTATTTTTTTATTTTTTTTTTTATTTTTACATGCAAGCATGCAAGTGAAATACAATAAATACAATAAAAGAACATAGGAAACAAAACAAACAAAACAAGAAACCACCAGCCAGAAGGACCAGCAGCACAGGACAACAATTAGCAAAACTGGATAAACGCATGAGAAACACAGCATACATCAAGACACAATAATAACAAACAAGCAATCCATGCAATGTAGAAAATAAAACATAGTAACATATAAAACACACAAACAAGCACCGGCCGGAAGTACCGAGAACAAAACACATCACAAGGGACAACATGAAATAGAACAAGAAAATTGCACAGCACACAACAAGCTAGCAATAAAAACAAAGGAAAACAAAATAAAAATAAAAAACAAAATAAAAACAAAAAACAACACAACATAGCAATGCATAAGTAGAACACACAGGGCAAAGTAACAACACAAAAGCAAATACAGGAATAAAAACACTGTCACCAAAACACCGGTCCCACAACAAATAAGGGAGAGGCACGGGCACATAATACATTAGGGCAAACAAAACGCCATAGGGGCACACTACACTACATTTAGCAAAAAAACATGAAATCAGCTGACATATTTGCCCGGGAACAAGACCCGGGGGAACCGCACATTGAATGCCTCCCAACGCAGCCAACTCCAAGGGTCTTGACCACCCACCGGGGACGCCATTTCATCCAGAACCCTGGCAACAAAAACCCGCAAACAGGGGACCCAGATGGTATCACTCCGGAGGCGAGTAACTGCCACTCTACCCCTCACGCAGGGAACCTGCCCACCATGAAAGTCCTCCGGCCTTTCTGACAGAATGAACTCAGCAATCACTGCCCAGTGACCCGGTGGCATCACAGACGCCGGCAACACGTTCTGCAGGTCCCCAACGCGCATCCTCACAAGAGGGGGCCGGGCATAGGGCACCACCACAGGGGCACCAGCGCCCACGGGCACACCACCAGACGACTGCAGGGAACCAGGGCGGCGAGTATCCTTTCTCAAAGTTACTACCAAGCCACGCCCAGCACCAGCATCCACACTATCCCTGGCAGCGAAGCCACCACACCACACTGCGGAGAGTCCCCTGGCGGTGAAGGAACAGAAGGCACTCCCAAGACACGGGCACCAGCACCAGCAGGCACATGGACCTCCGCCACCACCAGCCGTGGAGACATCGACGCATCCGGATCCACACCGTCAACACCCAAAGACCCACAGTCACTGAAGTCCCCAACATCGGCCCAGGCAGAAGACGAAAGCCGGGAACGTTTGGGCTCCGGCCAGATATCGTCAGAGCCGGAAGCTGACCCAGAAACACGGGCACCACTAGCCGGACGAACTGACGCCCGACACAGAACTGCAGCAGCCTCTACCACAGGGGGAACCGGGCCACACACAGCAGGATGCTCCGCAGCCATCCTAACACCCAGCACATCTGGGACCTGAGGCGAGGACACAGGGCCAGGCACGACGAGGGAGAAGACTGCGACGCCCCACAGGGAGCACCAGGAAGGCCCACGGGAGCATCGGGTACATCGACATGAGCAGGTAGATCATCCGACGGCACTGCAATACCCGGAGGAGGGTCAGCAACAACCGGAGGAACGTCAGGCGACGCAGAGGGAGCCGCATCAGCTAACCGGATGCTCACCTTCTCATCTCCGGATACTTCCTCTCGAGGGAGCGGCCGGAAATCCTCTTCACGGAATAAATTTACGGAAGCAACTGGATCAGCAGTGCACCCGGCAGCCTGATGCCCCAACATGCCACACCGGAAACAAGTACGGTGTTGCTGGGCATAAAACACCCGCACGTAGTACCCTAAAAGTCGGACAGAGGATGGAATGTCCGACCTCAGTCGCATCCTGAGGGTACGAATGTTGGTCTTCACACCCGAATATTTCCCAGAAGACAGCGAGTGCATCCACACACTGACGACGGGGCCATACCTCTGGAAGAAACGCCGGAGGAGGGTGTCAGGAAACTCCATGGGGGCGCCATGGACACTCACATACGTCACTGCACCGCTGCGGTCCAAAATGGTCACAGACCCATTGCCGTCCTGCAGCTGCAAAGTATGCCCCTCGTACCGTCGGAGAAAGTCACGGTACAATGCCTCTCCCACAAACTTGATGATCACACGGCGAGCAGTGACCAGCTCAACACCGTAGACGTCCACGACCGGGACCTTGAGCATGTCACTCATGACCAACTCCACGAGAGGGTATCCCGCACAGCCAGTAAACTCCAAACCTATGGAGTTGACCCTCACGACAGGGGGAAGATGGCCGCTCATCGCAAAAGCGCCACGTTCACACCACCAGGAACAGCAGAGAGGGTAGAGACACCCACACCCCCTGCCGACGAAAACGGCAAACACCCCAAACTACCGGAGCGGTCAGGCGACGCCTCCTCACCGCACGGCAGCTCAGGTAAGACCCCCACCGACTAACTAGATACATAGTGATGAATACATATTTCTTCACAAGCAAATTTATGAAAACACAAAAGAACTGAGGAAATTCTGGTTTGAAAAATAGACGTGTTGATTTATGAATGAAATTAGAGGTTAAAAAAATAGGTATGGGACTGCAAGATTGCTTGAATCACAGGTTAAAAATATATGAGTGATTTAATTTGAATTTCAACAGGAGCTGCCTCTCATGGATCAGTATTTTTCAATCTACTATTTTCCTGCTTTTCCTAAATACGAACAGCTAGAAAAAATAAATAACAACAAATCTAAAGTGAGTCAAATTAATTGGAGAGAATGATAACACTACGAGAATAATCAGTAACAAATCAACTGTCATACAGCTGATTGGCTCCCGGCAGGTAAGTAGAGTTGGTCTTGAAGGCTAAAGTGAGGACCCCGCTGCTGTACACCTTCTCCCGCGAGATGTAGTAGTGACACTGGCCGCTCTTGCTGTGCCCAAAAGGATAATTATGGTATAACAGTAATAACAATAATAATATTGATAATAATATCAATAATCGCAATAAAATTATATCAACAAGCACAATAAAAATGATGAAATTATATCAACAATCACAATAAAAATGATAAAATTATATCAATAAGCACAATAAAAATTATATCATTAATCACAAAAATTATATCAATAATCACAATAAGAAATATAATATTATATCAATAATGCCTAACAATAATAGCCTCAAATATCAATACAAATTAATATTATCACTAAATAAATATAAATTACTCTCACAATAAAACATTACCAAAAATAATAATGATGATAACCATAATGCTACTACCACTATAATAATATAATGCAATCTAGGGGTAGAAATGGCCTAAGCTACTTTATCTCTTTGAGATGTATTTTCTTGTCTCAATAAACGTACTTAAACTTGAACTTGAATACAATCGTAGCATCGCCTCACCTGAAGTCCCAGGACATGATCTTGGTCATAGAGGCGATGTCGCACACGGCAGCGAACTTCCCATCAGCGATGTCCTGGCGGGACCTCCAGCAACTGAGGAAGGTGCCAGCGATCCCAGCGAAGATCTTCCGTTTCACTTCGTCCTCCGACTCCTGCGGGAAAGAGGAAGCCCAGTGGGTAATATACGCACTTGTAACGTTAATTCGACGTTGAATGAGCGTTACTTAGGCGTATTTTGCCTGCTTCGGGGTTGCTCAGAACTGCACCTCATTGCGTCACACTGAGTTACAATTCTCAATTTTGAAATTAAATACTTTTTTGCTATCAAATATATTAATATTTAAGAAAAATACTATACCAGATCAGCCTCAGGGTCGTATATATATTTTTTTGTTACGTCAGTAACTCTTTGCTTCATTCAATAAATCAGTTATACATGTTAATTATAGACAAACTTTGTTACTTTTAGATAATTTTGTAGCAGTGTTCCGGTCTCAATCTTCCAGGGTAGAGCAGACTGTGCCAGAAGGTCTGCAAGAGTGTCGATAGGAATGTATACCCGAGGCACCGTCAGCATGGCCGTGAGGATGCCACTGTAGCAGGACATGAACACAAAGGACGCCAGAAGCCACGTGGTCGCTATCAGGCGACCGGCGTCCTTCCTGGGCAGCCACCTAGGGCCTGTGGTAAGAACAGAGCAGCGATCATCATAACACTGAAATATATAATATATATATATATATATATATATATATATATATATATATATATATATATATATATATATATATATATATATATATATATATATATATATATATATATATATATATATATATATATATATATATATATATATATATATATAATATATATATATATATATATATATATATATGTATATATATATATATATATATATATATAATATATATATATATATATATATAATATATATATATATATATATATATATATATATATATATATATATATATATATATATATATATATATATATATTGATACATCACAATGGCATGATGAATCAATGAGAAAATAATTTTGAGGCAAAGGGGTGACTCGAGCCGGCGTCCTGATGATTCCCAGACACCTTTCTTAACCCACTCGCCCACAACAGGACAAAAACCGACCAACCCGGTACTCTTCTGAATTAACTAGGAGGTTCAGGAGGCTCTAAACTGGAACCAAACATGGATTTTTATAGTCGGCCGACCTACACTCTGGCCTGCAAGCAGTGCTGTTCACATCCTTCAGAACACAAAGAAATCACAATGGCTTGATATGTCAATGAGAAGTGAGCTAAGCGGGGCTAAGTGAAAATATATAATGTGAATTTTAAAACAACACATAGAAGATAACCCAGAGGTTTACTCACCCTGTTGGGATAAGGTCTGAACAACCCACACGCTGGCTCTAGACCAGTAGCCGTTCTCAGTTTCCAACTTAAAGACCTTATCCTCGGCGAACCCCATAAATCCCGTGACCATCCACACACACACCACACTCGCCAGGATCAGTAACCACACCTGCGAGGGAAGACAACCCAGGAGTTTGACAGCTGTGTTATTATATACACTCGTCACTGTAACTGGGAAAGTGTCTGATTAGTGGTATCGTGAAAAACGAATTTGTGCTTGAAAATGGGCTATTTTCATGTATAATAATAATAATAATAATAATAATAATAATAATAATAATAATAATAATAATTATTATTATTATTATTATTATTATTATTATAATGTTACAAATACAAATATAAACAGAGCTAATGGTAAGAGTACTATAATTATTATTAGTAGTAGAATCAGAATTTATTATTATTATTATTAATACTATCATTATTTACACTATTTGTATTATTCATTATTAATAATACAATATTGCTGACCAGAGGGGTGAAGGGCTTGATGAAGCCTGAGACGTCGCTAGACAACTTAGGTCTTATCATGAAGATAGAGTAGTAGGCGTCGTAGAAGGGAACGGTCAGGTCTACCACCGACTCCCTCTCATCTGTGGCGAAGAACGGTCCCAGAGAGAACTCCACTTCCTGATGGGTTGAGGCGATGGTGGCGTATTTCACGGTTGTGGTGAAGCAACGATGCAACCAAGCACATGAACAGGATAAAATTGATAACAGTAAAAGTCATACTCCTATAAAAGTATATATTAAGCAAAGATTATTTGAGATTCAATCATTCGGTGGAGGACGAGAGAGTAAAAGATACTCATCTCCTATTCCAGCATCCGTATTAAGTGTGTAATTACGAGAGAATCTCACCTCTCTCATCAGCATCCCAACCATCCCCATGTAGGATCCGTTGGGGAAGCGGTCAGACCAGATGCCGTCGGGAGGTCGTACAATCAGGTAGCTGTATGAGGAAATAGATGAGATTTAATAATATTATTAATCAAAACAAAATGACATAGGC